CCCCTGGATTCCCCTATATGAAGTTATTTGACCACCACTTGTCCAGATTGAATTGCAATTTGTGGTGTAGACTTCTGCACAAGATTTCTGTGTGTTGTGATAAAAAAAAGCCTAAAGGTGAGCACCAAATACTTTGTATTTGTTATGTTGCTTAATCTGTGATCTCTTTTCCTCTAGGAAGTCTATCGGATCCCGAAGAAGACCCCGGCAGAGAAGGAGCACTGTACGTATCACACGGTGCATATGATGAAAACGTTGCACTCCAGGTTCCAATAATGAATAGGGCTGTCATAGACTAAGTGTTCCATTTCAACTTGTAAATTTGTATAACGTGGGATGTCAGTATAATACCAGAAAGATGAGAGAATTAGAAAATCAATTCACTGAATTCCGCACCCCACAATATCCAGTCATCTGAGAGATGAGCTCAAAATGTACAGGCTGCATGAAATCTGACTTAAAGGAGAACTATGGGGTTAGGGCTTTTCCCCGTAGTTCTCCTTAGGGTAACGGGAGGACACAAACTAGCGTCCTCCCGTCACCCAAAGCTCCGTATATAGGGAGCTACAGCTCGCGGTATACTGAGACGCCGCAGCCGGGACGGATCCTGACATTACTGTCGAGATCCACCCAGCTGCGTGATTGACAGCTGGCTCTGCCTATCTAGAGGCAGAGCCTGCTGTACCCGCCCCCTCCCCCGTCCGTTCCGCCAGTCAGCGTTAGAGGGGAGGGGGGAATCCCTGCAGGAAGCCGTGAGTGACAGAAGTGAGCGAGCGACGGTTTGTGTTCCCTCACTTCCCGATCTATTGAGCCGACGTGTGACAGTTTAATTGTCGCACGTCGGCTCGAAACTATGAGGATGAGTTATTCCCATTCACCTCATAGTTCTCCTTTTTAAAGCAGTCCTTTACCCCCCTTTCACTAAATATCATATCTGCATGCAGCTCTGCATGCTAGTATGAAACCATCTCACATTCTTTATTTAAATAAACCTATTTTTCTTTTACTTTACAATCATTGATATTCCACTTCCTGGTCCTCACGGGCTTTAGTGATGTCATCGTGCCCCAGCGTTGCATCCTGGGAAGGTTACATCCGCAGAGCATGGGAAATCTCATCTGTAATCTCTCACGCGATCTCAGGGAAAGGCATTTTCCTCCCCTGAGATGATGTGCATGGTCACATGGCCTAGTTGCATGTGCCAGAGTTCCAGGAAGTAAAGGGAGGTGGATTCATCTGCCCTTAGTAAAAATGGCCGCTGTGAGAAGAATGGGGAGGATAAGAATAATAAGATATCCAAGAATAAAACCTGCAATTATCTATCAGGATGTGTTTGTAGATTTGTCATTACTAAACATTCCTTTAGGTGACTCATGTCATTTCAAAGATTCGGGTGAAGTTCCTCTTTAAGTATTGGGGTTTATGTGCACATTTTACCGGGGGAGATATGTTCTCTCAATTTCACTAGATAGACTTTCATTAAGAGAGGGGAGCATCACGGTCAGAGTTACCACAATCACTGTGTTGCATTACTAAGCAGAAAGCAGTCTACGTATGTAATGTGACATTTGGCTGCCACCTTGGGGGGAGAGGGGAAGAACAAACTTAAAGAACAGGATTCCCTATAAGAGATGAAACTTTTGCTCCAAAGACGCTGCTCCCTTTCATCCCTTCCAGGGATTTCCTAGTTGACATTTTCCCCAGTAGAGGGCGATCTTGTCTGCTGAACACCCCTGCCCCGTCGTTCATTTTTGTGCACGGTTACACTTTTTTGTTGTCTTCCATATTGTGCAGATGACAGGCACCGAGAATCCTCCTCAGGAAACTATCAGACCCCAAACACCAAGAGTCGGGAGCGGGACTCCGAGCGCCAGAGCCAAAGGAAGCGCAAACAGTCGCCGTCTCCTCCCTCATTCTACGAGCGCAGCACAAAAAGGGGCGAGGACAGGTAAGGAGTCCGCGTGTGCATTTAAAGCTGGAATGTAGGATCCCGGCTCACTGTCATCTTCACCTTTTGCGAGTATGAAATTAGGTTATTTTATAGGTAGTAGGGATGCACCGTTACCAATACGGGCGAGTATGTGCATGCTTCCGATACCAAAACATCCGGTATCAGGAAGCCAGCTCCATGCTCCCTTGTCACCATGGAGCATAGAGCTGGCTTCCCGGCCAGTCAGGAAGCCAGAGGGCGGGTGATGACTCGCCACCCGGCTTCCTGATAGGCAGGGAAGCCGGCTCCATGCGCCCTCGTCACTTGGTGATGAGGGAGCATGGAACTGGCTTCCTGGCCAATCAGGAAGCCCGGGGGTGTGTATTGACGTGCCGCCCGGCTTCCTGCTTGTTCAGGAAGCTGGCCAGTCAGGAAACTGGGTGGCGAGTCATTACCCACCCCTGGCTTCCTGATTGGCCAGATAGCCGGCTCCTCGTCGCCTGGTAACGAGGGAGAATGGAGACTGCTTTCTAATCGGGAAGCTGGGCAGCAAGTCATTACACGCCGCCCGGCTTCCTCAATGAGACTTCTGGTATCGGCGCGTACCGAAAAAAAAAATATCGATACTCTATTCCGAAAAAAACGTATCGGAATAATACCGATACACAATAATAGGTAGTATTGATTTGTTTCTCCTTAATATTGATGGATTATTAGCAAAGTCTAAATCTTATCACAATATTTCTATAGGTCAGTTAGTGTAAAAAGCTACAATATGGTCCGACTTAAAGCTGAACTCCAGCCGACACACACACACACACACACACACACACACACACACCACTTATTTTTTACATTGGCTTTATACATATCTTTAATCCTGCAGTCATCAGGTCAGTCCGATGATTGCACAGTCTTTCCTCTTCCCCTCTGGGAGCGGTCCTTCCTACTGGGCTCACATTATGAGCATGCTCAGTCCCAATGACGTTCTGTAGTGACAGGTTCACTTGGCATTTCACAGCACCCTATACACGCCTCCTTCCCAGCACTGCTTCTCTATGACTACCAGCAGAGGTTGCATTGGTACTGTGTTCAAATGGCACATTGGATTTTAGTTCCCCTGTAGTATACCTATTGAGATGCTGGTGCATGAAGCGCCGTCCCCTTTTCCCAAGCAAATTTCATCTAATGCAAATTGCTGAGTTACCGCAACTTCCACACGGGTGGTGGGGGGAGAGAGTAGGACTAGTAGTAGTTGGTCTCATTCAACTGGACTTGTTTTGTAAGGACTTTCCTCGCTGCATCCAGTCATCATCCTCCGTTCCAAGGAGTGTCAGAAATATGATGTACCTCGAGACGTGTCACCCTAAGCCCTCATTCACACGAGTAGCAGCCGGCCCGCAAAGATTCGTGCTGCGTCCATGGCCGTATCTGGCCGCTCCCTGCAAGGATGGGTGCTGCTGCGTGTTATTATACTATATACTATTATATGTTATTATACTATATACTATACTATTATTCTTCTCTGTGGGAGTACGCCGCCCTACGCTCACCCTCCCTGCTCGGACGCAGACAGGATCCATCGGAGCGGCCCGTGCACGCAGCACGGATCTGTACGGGCCAGCTGTTACTCGTGTGAATGAGGGCTAAAGCGGAACGCCACTTGCATACCAAAAATAAAAAAAATTAATTGCCAAACATGTCCTGGGACTGGGTTAGTGTTTACATTATTTATCGGAGCATTTGGGCAAGTACGAGGACTCACCCAAATACTCGGTATCGGCACCGATACTAGTATCGGTATGGGTGCATCCCTAGTTTACATACACTCTTTAGGGTGACTGAGATACCCATGTGGTATAAATACAGTGCAATGCACGTGACACTTATTAGAAATAAAGGAGCCCCTTGGATGAGTGTTGACATGTAAAGTCTCAGGTGAATGCGATTGTCTACTGCTAGCTATACTATGACCTGAGAACCTTCAGAGATATAGGAAGTGGTGTTCCTGCATCATCAGTGGTGCAGTACAAGTCTAATATAGCTTCATGAGGTCTCGCATGCAGACGGGTTGTGACTTCAGATTTTATTCCAGCAGGTATGACACTCCCACTACCTCCAAGAAGAAAAGTCGACTGCAGGACCGAAATAAGCTGTCCACAGAGGAGCGCAGGAAGTTGTTTGAGCAAGAGGTGGCACAACGCGAGGCCCAGAAGCAGCAGCAGCAGATGCAGAACATTGGCATCACTTCCCCCATCTCTTATGAGTCTATGCCGTATGGCACCCAGCTGCCCCCGCCTTACATGACTTACCCACAGGGGTACCCCATGCAGTCCTTCCTGGACCCCACCAATCCTAACGTAGGGAAGGTTCTGCTGCCCACTCCACCCCTGGACAGCTCTCCCAACAGCTATGACCCCTCTCAAGGCATGGTTAATTCGGCGATGATGACTCCGCAGCCAGTCCCAGTAGTGCAACATGTAGCAGCCCAAATGGATGTCCCCACTCAGCAGTATGCGACCCAGCCTGAGTCTATGGTCCCTCAGGATCCCAATGTGAATGTAATGCCAGTACCAGCACCCAGCGCTGTTCCAGCTCAGACCTATGGAGGCTGGGACCCCAAGCAATCAGCAGTGCCGGTTCAACAGCATCAGGTCCAGCCTCCGTACCCACCACCCCCTGCCCAGCCTGCACTCTACTACTCAGGACAGGCATGCTCAGCTATGTACGGGATGCCAGCTGCCTACGCTCAGACCACACAACCCATGGTGCAGGTAAGAGGCGCATTTCTTCTGCTGCTATTTGCTGCTTTATTTTAAAGGAGAACTTATAAGGTGAGTGCTTTTCACTCCCCTCATAGTTCTAGCCGACCTGTGACAATGAGACTGTCACAGGTCGGCTCAGTAGATCGGGAGGTGAGAGAACACATACCGGCGTTCGCTCACCTCTCGATCCTGTCACGGCTCTCTGCCGTGACAGGGGAGGGGCTGGATTCCCCCCTCCGATCCTCCAGGGCTGACTGGCGGAACGGACGGGGGAGGGGGTGGGTACAGCTGGCTCTGCCTCTGGATAGGCAGAGCCAGCTGTCACTCACGCAGCTGGGCGGATCCAGACATAATTGTCGGGATCCACTTCAGCTGCGGCGTCTCAGTATATAGGGAGCTGTAGCTCGCGGTATACTGAGCTTAGGGTGACGGGAGGACGCTAGTTTGTGTCCTCCCGTTACCCTTAGGAGAACTATGGGGAAAAGCCTTAACCCCATAGTTCTCCTTTTAATCATCTGATTTGATGTACAGAATTGGTTAATGCCCAGAGTACACGGAGCCGCTGTAGGTTGAGTAGCTATGAAGGCCCATTAAGTGCGGCAGAAAAGTTTAAATACCTGTGCTGGCATCAGGCAGGAGCGTCGTATTGCCGCTCTCACACACAATGCAGTGGCCCAGCTCTCTCTCTCCCCTCTCTCTCTCCCCTCCCCCCCTAGGTTGTCCACATACATTTGGCCAAATAATGTAGGTACACCATGGAGCTGTATACAAATAAGCAGACCGTTAGTAGTTTTGTACTCCATTACTTGGCATTTTTATATTTTCAGTACACATGTTCAGGTCCGATGGTTGGCTTTTGGAGTGCGATAAGTTCCACAGCATTGTGTGGCAAGCTTATGTGCACCCAAATATTTGTTGCAGAATAGGCCAAGCCAAGCGATCAAGGCCAGTTTTACACAATCAAAAAATGAACGTGCCTAACTACATGTCTTCTCATTGTCCATTGTCTCATCTATAGAGCAGTCTTTTAGCCCTGAGGAACCCTTCCAAATTATGAGGTCTCGGGGAAACTCTTGCCAAAACCAGCACATGGCTGGTCAGTCCGAAACTGGTGCACTGGTGACTTGAAGGATAAATGCCCCTTTCACAGTGGCCATCAGAATGTAACCCTTAGGCCCCATTCACACTTGGCGATTTGCAAATCGTGCGTTTATCACGCGATTTGCATTTTGCGCGATATCGCGCAAATGCTTGCATTGAAAAGCATTGAATCGCGGCAAAATCCGCTCCAAACAGGGTCCTGCTGTAGAGACGCACGACCCGCGACAGCAGGACCCTTTGCCCCATTGCCATGCATTGGAGAGCGATATCGCGCGGTAAATAGCCGCGATAAATCGCTCAGTGTGAACGGGGGCCTAACAGACAGCTAACAAGATCATTGGGTTCATGCAGCTGCCAAGTGGCATTGAGCCCGGAACAATGCGGGCACCTTCGAATGGGCGGTCAATTAGCCACAGCTCATGGAACCCTTAAGGTGCCCACACACCTTGCGATAATCGCGGGAAATCCCGCTATCGTACGATTAGCGCAAGGTGTGTGGAAGGCGTGCGACCTCTGCTACTGTACGATCGCACGACTTTTATCTTAGGAACATGTTCGGAAACCCGCCGAGAATCGTACGATTGTCGGCGGGTGTGTGGCATGTTCGTAAGATAACTGCCGCAAGCGCACACTTCCCGCTCAGCATTGCGGTCATCGAAAGCCCGCCCCTCAGGGGGGCGCGGCTTGCGATCATCGCAAGTACGATCTACCTGTCAAAGATCGGCAGATCGTACGTCTTGTGTTGGTTGTAAGGTGTGTGCCCAGCATTAGCTCTAGAGTTCAATGGAACCCTTATTGAGAATGATTGCTGTAGTTGAATATTGATCATTTATTCATGTTCCCCTGTCTGTGATTCAGCCGCAGTGCCACTGGTCTCCCTTAGTTTTACATTCTTGTGTATTTATTACCAAGGAATGTTTAATAATCCTTTATAGCTTTCTATAATTGAGTTTATATGCCAGATGTAAGTATTATTATAATTTGCAATATTTAGATCTTACATGGGAGGTCTCACAGCCCCAATTCCATCCAAACCATTACTGTTTCCATGTGTTCAGTATTGTGGGGTGTGCGCGTTTTATATCCGGTGATTGGCTTCCGGAAGACTCCAGTGCAGAATCCTTGGACAGGACGTCACGGAATATCACTGCTACGTTTTCAGGGGTTTTATTTTCCTCTCCTTTTTTTTTTTATAAAAGTTTGCTAAAGAAAATAGCAAAATGTAATAACATGAGGACACCTCCTGGCAGTAATGCGTCGGCCGCGCCGCAGCAGGCGGGTACCACGATACCGCGCGGTGCAGTTGTAAGAGTGCATGCACTACTTTTTTTTTCTACCGCAGTGCACGGCATTGCAGTCCCACGCATTGCGGCCCAGAGGTGCTTTTAGGGTGCCGTTCAAATAAATTGCACTGCAATGCACCTGCTGCACTGTGACGCACGGTGGGTGAGTTGCAAGATACCGTGTGTTAATTGCACAGAACCGAACGATTAATGCACGGCTTTGGTGTGAGCAGCCCCTGAAGCTCATACTGAGGGCCCATTAACACCAGGGCCGTGCGCTTTGCTTTGAAAAAATAATGCATGCACTGCTTTGTTCACATGCACCGCAACCTGAATTCAGCCTCATTCACAGTCCCATAAAAGTCTATGGGGCACTTATGTACAGGCTCTGTTTGTTTTATAAACTTAACAGCGCAACCGCGGCTGTCAGATTGAAGTAAGTATGCATCTCTGGAGGGGGAGGGGAGTTAGGTCCGGGAAAAGGGGCACAAAGCATAGGTGCATTATTTAAAGAACCCCATAGTTCTCAAGGCTTTTCCCCATAGTTCTCCTTAGGGTAACGGGAGGACACAAACTAGCATCCTCCCGTCACCCTAGGCTCAGTATATAGGGAGCTACGGCTCGCGGTATACCGAGACGCCGCAACTGAAGCGGATCCCGACAATTATGTCTGGATCCGCCCAGCTGCGTGAGTGACAGCTGGCTCTGCCTATCTAGAGGCAGAGCCAGCAGTACCCGCCCCCTCCCCCGTCCGTTCCGCCAGTCAGAGGTGGAGGATCGGACAGGGGAGGGGGGAATCCAGTCCCTCCCCTGTCACCGCTCTCTGCCGTGACAGGATTGAGAGGTGAGCGAGCGACGCTATGTGTTCGCTCACCTCCCGATCTACTGAGCCGACCTGTGACAGTCTCATTGTCAAAGGTCGGCTAGAACTATGAGGATGAGTGAAAAGCACCCCCCTCATAGTTCTCCTTTAAGGAAACCCCCGTGTAAGCTACAAGTCCTTGCATTTGTAGCTTACAAAGACCCTTAGACTCCCCATACTCTGGCTCAAAACTGTCACATGAACAAGTCCAACACTTCCAAATCCACAACCTCAAAAAAGTAGATTATTACATGCAATCAATAAAACAAGGATTGTACATAGAACAATATCGGACCTCTGAAAAGTACAAGCATGCATATGTACTCAGTACTTGGTTTGGGCCCCTTTTGCAGCACTTACTGCAATTACTTTTGCACGATATTCTAATTATTCGAGTTTCACCTGTACCTGGAAGTAACAGTTGCTGAATGGAACACCAGGGGGACTCAAGTATAGGCTCTTGGGGAGAGCAGGAACCTGTTGCTTTGTCCTAATTCACTTGAAGAGGTTTGAATTATCTTCAACAGGTGAAAAGACAAAAAATATTGGCTACTGCAAAAGGGATTTTGCTGTTTTATTATGAAAAGTGAAAATAACCCGGCGCTGTCATCACAGTCAAAGTGGGATAGACTTTAAAAAGGGGCGCAACAGACCCGGGGAGAGGGGGTATGCACTGCTAGAGTCCCCAAAACATATAGGAAGACAGTACGTGGCTGGGCCTACTGCCATGTATCTCCATCTCACATTTTGCGGTATTTGGGTACATCGGGGGAATGCAGAGTTTTAGAGACCACTCAATAAAATGCTGGAATTCTGTTTTTGTTGTTCAGAGTTACACGCAGCCCGGCCTGCAGTACATGACGGGACAGCAGATGTACGCTCCCCACCCGCAGGGTGTCGTCATGCAGCAGCCCCCGCCTGCCATCGCCCCTCCTGGACAACCACCACCAATGCAGCAGGTTTGTAACTAGCGCAGAAAGGTAACTCGGTCCTCCATCTTTGCCTGTCCAGTGTCCGTGTGTGTAACTCACCAGCTTTTGTGTATCTACCCGCAGCCTGAGATGGGAATGTCTGGCAATAACATCATGGACCTTCCTCCACCCTCCCCACCCAAACCTAAAACCATTGTCCTTCCTCCCAACTGGAAGACCGCGCGAGACCCAGAGGGAAAAATCTACTATTACCATGTAATAACCAGGTGAGCCAAACATGGGCATGGAAACATATCGGACACATGCATTGTGCGGGAGATACACTTATTGTCTGTAATGTGTATATAATAATCTGGCCACTCAGTGTATATAATAATCCGGCCACTCAGTGTATATCTGAAAGTTTGTTGCACATCTGTGAAGAAAGCAGAGTTGGTGAGGACCTGTAGTGTGGTAGCTGTGCCCGAAAAGGCAAGCCGAGGACAAAGGAGTATTCTCCTCCAGTGGTCTCCCTGCAACTGACCTTTTCCTTATTACTATTTATTACAAGTCCTTCTGCACCGTGTCTCTGTGTTGGGGCAAACATCAAGGTAGAGGAGCAGGGCTTCCTCGTGTCATAGCTGCCCTCCCTATGACCGGTGGGGTAATGATGGTGGAGGAAGCACAGATCCACAGAATGAATGAAGCAGACGCAGGGAGATCCTTGCACTGCAGCTCCTCCGGGTACAGCTTACTCTCCGGTAAGGAGAACATTGATCAGCACGGTGGTCATATCACCGAATCAGCAGAGCCGCAGATCTTACAGAGCAGATCTACAGCTATGATTCTCTAGGCACAGGGAGGGCCCTGCTATTGTTCAGGAGAAAGACCAAGGTAAATCTTTTAGGGTACTTTCTAGACATTTCCAATAACATAACAGATCTTTAATTGAATTCGGGTCTACTGTGAATGTCACATTATCGATAAAGATTTACAGTTCTTTCCCATTTCTATATTGGTGACATGGTGCCTTCTAATCACCAGGCTTTATACTCTGCTTGCTTATATGAAAACGGTGATGTGTGTTCCTGTGGAGGTGAGGAGGATGCTCCAGTAAGGTCCAGGCGCTCCGCTGGCCTCTCGAGGTTCCTCCACACTACACTGGTCACACCATGTCTGTATGGAGCTTTGTACACAGGGGACAGTCATGGTGGAACAAAAAAGGGTCTTCACCAACCTGTGACCACAAAGTTGGAAGCATACAGTTGTCTAAAATGTGTTTTTTGTATGATTTAGTAATAACATTACCCTTCATTGGAAGCCTCTGAACTCAATTATTTGGAGGGAGGGGTCTCCACTCTGACCATATAGTGTACTTTTGCCACGGGCCCAGGGAGCCCCATAACACAGGACACTCTCTATGCCAGGGGTTCCCACAAGGTCGATCGCGATCTACCAGTCGATCGCGTAGGGAACACTGGTAGCTCGGTTGCAGGCGATCGCACTGTGGGCGAGGGGCCTGCCTGCGGAGCCTGGCTGCGTTGCCATTGACTTCAATGCACCGCCACGCCCCCTCCCGCCCCTGAATGCAGGTGTTTTTTCGTTGGTAGATCTCAATGAGCTCGTCATTTGAAAAGTAGATCTCCAGAGGAAAAATAGTGGGCACCCCTGCTCTATGCTATACCCCACCAGCTACAGTATTCTGGACCCACCTCTTTGCACGGTGTGCCTGTAGCCCTATAGTTATCCCATTTGATACGTATCTTGCTCCCTACCCAGCCCTTTTGGCATGCCCCCCTGGCTTATGATTGACAGTGGTTCCTAGCAGCCTCATGTTAGAACTGGCAGCCTGTGTTAACTACGTTCCCTGCTGTCCCATATGCTGCCACAGCACCCCCCATACATAGTCAAAACTAGAAAGCGAAGCCTGTGCGGTCCCATGACCTTTGACCTAAAGGTCAAATGTACAGCAAATGCAATCTTTATTTTAAACAATGGCAGTTTATGGGCAGAGTTGGTAATGTTTTTAGTTGCCTGGTGTGACAGGGACGAAGAGCATACCACGCATGTGCGGATTTGTGGAAGAGGGAGAGCACGCAGCACATGTGCGGATTTGTGGAAGAGGGAGAGCACACTGCACATGTTTGGATTTGTGGAAGGAGAGCACGCTGCGCATGTGCGGATTTGTGGAAGAGGGAGAGCACACTGTACATGTGCGGTTTTGTGGAAGAGGGAGAGCACACTGTACATGTGCGGATTTGTGGAAGAGGGAGAGCACACTGCACATGTGCGGATTTGTGGAAGAGGGAGAGCATACTGCACATGTGTGGATTTGTGGAAGAGGGAGAGCACGCTGTACATGTGCAGATTTGTGGAAGAGGGAGAGCACACTGCACATGTGTGGATTTGTGGAAGAGGGAGAGCACGCTGCACATGTTTGGATTTGTGGAAGAGGGAGAGCACGCTGCACATGTGCGGATTTGTGGAAGAGGGAGAGCACGCTGCACATGTGCGGATTTGTGGAAGAGGGAGAGCACGCTGCACATGTGCGGATTTGTGGAAGAGGGAGAGCACGCTGCACATGTGCGGATTTGTGGAAGAGGGAGAGCACGCTGCACATGTGCGGATTTGTGGAAGAGGGAGAGCACGCTGCACATGTTTGGATTTGTGGAAGAGGGAGAGCACACTCGTTCCTGTGATGATGGAGGAGGATGCTCCCAACTTACCATCCATCCTAGCCTAAGAGCAGGATGGTGTCTCGCTCAAAGTGGTACTTTTTCGGCCAGGCTTTGCAGAAGCCGCGGTTGACCTACAGGTGTAGTGAGCGCTCTATTTCTCTACACTGCACCATAATTTGTAGACTGCTGGCGCCCTTTGACCTCACTGCAAGGTTTAATATAAAAGTGAACTAACCAATTTAACCCTAAGCTGGAGGAATGACTCGAGGTTCTTGTTCATCAATTGACTCCGTTATCGCTTATAATCTTGCAGGCAAACTCAGTGGGACCCTCCAATCTGGGACAGCGGCGGAGAGCCGGGAGGAAGCATGGATCATGAAACGGAGATGGACTTGGGAACCCCGACATACGATGAGAACCCGATGAAGGTGAATGTGCTGCTACGTTGTATTGTTACTAGTTTTAAACAAAATTTCCCAACAGCAAGTGACAAATCATGACCCGCTGATGTTGTTTTGGAAAAGATTCAGCTGATCTTAAAGGAGAACTATGGGGTCAGGGCTTTTCCCCATAGTTCTCCTTAGGGTAACGGGAGGACACAAACTAGCGTCCTCCCGTCACCCTAAGATCAGTATATAGGGAGCTATACAGCTCACGGTATACTGAGACGCCGGAGCGGATCCCGACATCGATGTCGAGATCCGCCCAGCTGCGTGAGTGACAGCTGGCTCTGCCTATCTGGAGGCAGAGCCAGCTGTAC